TAATCTGTTGGAAAACCATGTAGTTCAGCAAGTACACCCCCTGTGGCCTAAACCAATCAGTTCAAATGAATCCCCCTCTTGTACTAACCAATCACACCTACCCAACTAGTTCCCACCAGTGAATGTGATAATCAATGTTAAGAGTTGTTGTTTGACTTTCCCGCAGTGTGTGATGATTTGCTGTGTGATGTTGTGACTCATAGAGTATCCCCCAAAACCTATAAAATCTCACTGAACAAAAAACCGGGGCTCACTCCCTGGGACCACTGCATCAGGAACGGTTGTGAGTCCAGGCTTGCAATAAAGTCTCTTGTGTGATTGTATCGGATTCGGCTCCTGGAGGTCTATTGGGGTCCCACAAACCTGGCATTACATCCCCACCTCCAGCAGGTGCATAGGGCTTAGGAAGGGAGAAGTCCCTCTTCCCAAAGCCAGATCCTCTAAGAGGAAAGAGGCAGCTGTGGTGGGCCTGCGGCTCCATGCCGTCAGGAGCTGCGTGACATGTGTGAGCAAAGGCACACACTGGAGGTGAGTGAGTTGCTTAAATCTGAGCTTTCACCAAAGCCACTTATGCCCCTGCTGTTCCCAGTACAGGGCTCAGCAGAGGCCAGGCAGGGGACCAGGGCATCCCTCTGATATTCACACACAATGAAGGAGGAGGGACAGACAACAAAGAAAACTCAGCATGGTGACTGCTGGGTCTGTTCTTCCACTGCCCACATTCAGTAGAAAGATGTTATTTTTCAGGAAAATAATCTGTAGACATATGATCTTCTTTCTTTTGTAAAAATTCAAGGTTGGGTTTGGCAGTAGGGAAACTAACACTTTGAGAACATGGCGACCATCTTTGTTGAAGTATACTGCCGCCGTCTCTCTAAACCAGGTTTACAGAAATTGACACTCACAGGAGGGTGGCGTGGCTACTGTCCAAGAAGTTCACATCATGTCCAGATTCTCAGGAGCATGAGGTTAGTACCTCCAGATGGTTGCTTAGTGTCCTCTCTCTCTGGGTTGGGAGCTTCAAGAAACCAAGGCACTGAGTATCTGGTGCTGAAGAGCTCTTTTTATTGTCCTTTATTTTGATTGACAATAACTGAAATCCATCAACAAGCAAAAAACCAGCATTTATGGATAACTTGTAATAGAAAAGTCAGGATTGTGCTGGGGACGGTGGTGCATACCTATACTTCAAGCGGCTCAAGAGGCTGAGGCAGGAGGATCCCAAGTTTAAACCAGCCTCAGCAACTTAGTGAGGTAAAAAGCACCTCAGTGATTCCCTTTCTCTAAATAAAATACAAAATATAGCTGAGGAGATTGCTCGGTGGTCAAGTGCCCTTGAGTTCAATCCTTGGTACCCCACCCGCCAAAAAAATGTCAGGGTTGTGATTTCAGTTATAGTTTGATCCAGCTGTTTAGACAATACTTTTAGCCATTCTCTTGCACTTTCTCTGTGCCTGAGATATGTTATCCTTTGCCTTGACTTCATTTTTCAGATAACCTTTGTACACATGGTAGCACATAAAAGATACAAGTTAATTTAGACTTACAGTCTGTTAGCTCATAACCCCACATACCTGGAAAAAGAAAGGAATGAGGAAGCTAGTGTGCCTAGGAGTTTCTGGCAGCCATCTTGTGATCATGAGGCATGCTTGGGATATAGTCACTGAGAAGAAGAAGAAGACAAGAAACAAACACACCAGGTCTGTGGAAGTTCTGTCAAACTGTGACAAAATGTTGATTCTTTAAGTGAAGCAATAAATTGCCTTTAGTTTTTAAAAGACATTTTGATTCCAGTTTTCTATTATTAGACATTGAAAAATTTCAAACTGAGACTAATGAGCCTGTTTTTATGTACAGCTGAAAGGATTTTAAAGAGTACATTTATTTGTAAGGAAGAAACATATAAGAAGTGCAAACAAGTTTTTATTGTTATTTTCATCAGCAGCTTGATTAACTTCCTTCTTAATGTCTTTCATTGCACTGGTGAGAACTCCTACTCCTCCCGCCTCAGGCTAGTCTCATTTAAAACGCTCACTGGCACACCCCTTGGGGGCTTGATCCTCGTGGTGACAAGGGGGTGCAGCAATCTGTAAGGTACCAGCTTTACATCCAAGGAGGATGTCATTAAAACAGGGTGGAAATCATGAGCATGGTTCAGACCCCCCAGAGCCTGGGGGCAGAGGCAGGTGCACCCTTGTAGGGCACAGTAAAGCCGGTGCAGCCCCTGTTCAAAGGGATGAGAAGACCTTTGGTGTGGAAGGAGAAGCGGTGCCTTTCTCCTATGGCCTCTCAATTTTTCATGGTGGTTTTTTTAGCTTGCTGTTTAGTGTTTTTCTGAGTCAAGAAAACCCCAAATCTCCAGGTTATTGGCATGAACTTTGCAGTCTTCTTGAAGCAGTTGATGCCAGTTTTAAACGTAGTGCCCACACACGAGCCCGGGTGCAGAACCCCCACATCTGAAAGTCCCCGATTCCTAGTTGGGAAGGCAGTGTCCTCTTTTCTCACTGGAATGGTGTCAGCACTGCACAAATGGACTCCCCCGTTTCTTTCACTTCCTTGTGTGACACCACCTGCCGGCCAGCTAGGCCCCAGCCTGCCAGTGAGCAAGGGGGGCTGTCCAGAGAAGCAGCTGGCATTGTCCTCCCCGTCTCCTCCCTGGCCTCACGGCAGCCTGAATGGTGGCCGATGCTCCAGGAGAGCCCCAGGCAGGAATGGGCCAGGCAGCTCTTTGGCTGTCATGGCTCCTAGGATGCTGTTGCCTTCTTTTTGCATTCAAAGCAGCTGCAATTAGGTGTCAGCGCCTATTGGGGCAGCTGAAGCATCCCCTCCTGGGATGCACCTGCAGTACTCACTGCCCATCCTCCTGGCCCCCGAGGCATCCTGCCAGCCTACCCAGTGTGCTGCAGGCTCTGCAGGTGACAGGAAGCCAGGAGGGCGGCCACACCTGCTGTGGCGCTGTGTGCTGCTGCACTGCCCTCTGCCCCCAGACTGCGCTTCAAGAGCACAGGTCCAAGGATTTCAAGATAGTGAGCGCAGCGCAGCAGAACAACTGGGGGACCCTCTGGGCATAGGATCTCGGGTACCTGTGAGGCTGGCAGTGTCTGCCCAGAGTTAGAGGAAGGAAGGCTGCTGGGATTTCATGGACATATGGACACAGTTCACAAGACTGGAGGGAGGCTGTGTGGGGACTCAGGGGGCAGAGACCTGTTGGGAGGGTCACCAACCCAGTGCTCGTCTGCACCCTCCTGGAAAAGGCGAGGGAGGCATCTTTGACATTCTGTGGACCATGGGTAGAAGCAGAATCCTCAATCCAGACTTGGTCCTTACTCGGTGCTGCATGTGGGGGGAGGGGACTGACCTCTTGGACTCCTGTATCCATCTGTATCTGGTGAGAGCAGGTCAGACTGCTCAGCTGCAGCTGAGAGCAGAATGAGGCTGGACCAGGCGGTGGCGAGATGAGTTGGTCCTTCTTGGTCCTGTGCTCAGTGTCAGCCAAGGCAGGGACTCGAAGCAGGGTCCTTAGGCAGGTCAAGTTATGTCTACCTGCCACCGGTGGCATCCTGGCTGACCACATGCTTGAGACCCAGGGCCTCAATGCTGCAGAGCCATGGACCAACTTTGTGCCTTCAACTTCACCCGAGGACCTGCATCTCGCACTGCCACACCTGGGCGGGCATTTTCAGCTTTGAACATCTGAACACGCAAGATAAATTGTCCTGAAAAAGCTGCACTGCCAGCGTCGATGGCACCATCCTGGCTGTCGGGTCCTCTTCTCCTCATTTTGAGTTTGAGGAGAGTGAGGCCTAGACACTAGAACAAAACATAAAGGCGCAGGTGGCAAGATAGTTGGGATTTGAGCCCATAAACGATATGCAGCCACTCTCCTTGCTCTGTGTCACTATGTCACCATGTCCCCCTTGGTTTTCGGAAAGTCTACTTATTGCAGAGTGTATCAGAGGGTGGAGTGACATGTGGAAGTCTCACAAAGCATTTCACTGATGTCCCTTTCTGCAGATTCAGGGGTGCAAAGCCAACTTCCTGACAACAGGGAGAGGATGCATTTCATGCTGACTTAGTAGGGGCCTCTGCCCACTGGAGGCCAAGGAGAGATGAAGGGCAGCAACTTGAAAGTCATGAGTGATCTCTCCTCAGACTATGGCCCATTTGGGGGATTCTCTGGGCTGCACCTTTGAGGAGCACCTCTGTTTTGTACAGTGAGTCCAATTCTGCTTTGGGTCCACAGACATCTGATGTCCCATTATCCCTTCTCCTGACCACCCCCTTGACTCAATACTGGACATCTCCTCCAAGCCAGCTTCTTGAGGGCAATAACTCATTCCCATGAGAAAATGTCAGACACCAAAAAGACCAAAGCAATAAATTAGTGAAGAAACTAAAAGTATAAATAAAACAGATGGCCCTTATTGACTTTAACAAACTGATGAATTTCTTTCCCCTTGAAACAAGGGCAGTCCATATGGATTACCTGGCAGGTTTTGAAATAGAAAACACGGTCATTATTCCAGAATATCAGGTTAAAAATATTCTTAGGAAACATGCAACCTTGTTAATTATATGTTATGTTTTTCTTCAAACTGGAGTGAATAACAGAGTGACGTTCACTGCCTCACACTAGATTTGTTACTGCGCTGCTCTTAACAATCACACTTTTGTGTTTTGATCTGCCTCAGGCTGGTTGGTTTCTGTGTGAGGAAGATACCTGCCACAGCAGGCACAGCAGGTTCACGCTCAGGCTTTATCATGAGGAGCTCACCAGGCCCTCACGTGCTCACACCCAGGAGCTTCTCTCAGTCTTTCCTGGAGGTACACACCACACCATCACTGCATTCTTACCACGGAAATTTCTTGTACCACCTTTGCTTTTGAGCTTGATGGAAGGCACTGACCCTATGCATTGAAGTCTCTGCCTCAGAGGTCCTGGTGATGCCCTCCATCTGGAGATGGTGATGATGATGACAGCAACGGTGATTATGACAATGATGGCGATGGTGATGGTGGTGATGGTGGATATGGTGGACATGGTGGAGGTGGTGATGGTGATGATGATAATGATGGTGGTGATGGTGATGATGATGGTGATGGTGGTGATGGTGGACATGGTGGTGATGGTGATGGTGATGATGATAATGATGGTGGTGATGGTGATGATGATGATGATGATGATGGTGGTGATGGTGGTGATGATGGTGGTGATGGCAGAAATGGTGGGTGGTGGTGCTGATGATGATGGTGGTGATGATGACAATGATGATGATGGTGGTGGTGATGGTAATGATGATGACAGTGACTATGATGGTGATGACAATGATGGTGACATGATGGCGATTAGGATGATGGCATGATGATAATGATGACCGTGTGGTGATGATGAGTTTCAGCAGCTGAGACGAAGGAGGTCATTTGCTGTCTCTCATTGGGTAGAGTCCAGCCTCGATTCTGTTGCCCTCAGCCTTGGTCATGTGACCTGTTTTACCAGTGGGAGGAGAGTGGACAGACAGAGGATTCTTTGGGAGGCATGAGGGGACTCCACTTTTACCCATGGTTTCTGTTGGAAACATACCCTTGCACTTCAGCTCTCCAGAAACAGGTTTGAGTTGAGGGAGGATCTTTGCCACTGGATGGCATGTGCTGAGTTCCTGTGCTAGATGTTGATTCAGGATTTGTCCCAACAAACATTTATTGAGCATCTCTGTTCTAGGCATTGGGCATAGAATGTAAATGGAGCTTGTAATTTTGAGGGGGGAGAGAGTAAATATAGGGTAGGCCAGGAGGGGTAGAGGGCAATGTGTGGTCACAGGAGTGACCGGTGGAGACAGGGCTGGGAGGGGAAAACCACCAGACTATTGAGCAACTGGTCCAAGCAGGACCCAGGAGGAGTAAGTGGACAGTCCATGGGGTAAGTGGGAAAGGGAAGGTTCTAGAGAGGGAGAAGAGGAATGGCAAGGGCCCTGAGGGACATAGCAAGCTGACCAAGGGGGACAGTCATGAGTGAGGAGGCCAGGAATTCCAGGCAGGGGCTCTTGGTCAGCCATGGCAGTCATGGTGGCTTGGGAGGGCTGCAGATGACACTGGCCATTCTGAGTATATCTGCCCACCATGGGTGTCCCTTCCTTATAGCACCTGCCACTTCTGCTCAGGGTCAATCATCTGATTTATTAAGCTGAGTGGCTCTACAGTTACAATCCTGTGGTATTTTTGGTGATGTGTAAACTGGAGTGTTCGGCAGGTAGGACCGACAGCTACTGGAGTAATTACTTTATGGATGTGTGTGTGAGTACTTATTGATAAAAGTGTACATCAAGACTCCCTGGAGAACATTATCCTAGAGAACTAATGTAGACATTAAAGTCTGAGCACTTTGCAGCTGGATAGTGACCTCCAAACCTCCCCCCACCCAATGATGGGGGACTTTGAGGAGTGTTGAAGTGACTTTCAGTCTGCTGGCTGGCTTGGCAGCAGAAAAGGTGAGCATCACTGAACCCCTCTGAGGTGGAGCCTGCCTCCCAGGTGAGGGACATGGTGCTCCTCTTGCATGGCTACCCTTGCATTCTTTCCTCTGCATTGGGAGGCTTCAGTGCAGTAGAGTGGGATTGGCTGGATTGGAAGGGCACCCTGTGGATTGGTGGTTTGAACATCTTCTTGGGCTCTTGAGCATGGATGAGGGTTGTCCAGGGTGGCAGAGTCTGTCCCTGGAAGTCCCGTGAGAGACCATAAAAGAAGTGCCTGGGGGTGTGGACATAACTGGTGACTGAAGAAGAGAAACTACCCCTCCTCTAGCCAGGAGTTTAAAAAATGGATCAGGAAAGACTGAAACTAATAAATCTACTACACAGTCCCTACCTTGGGGGATTGTGGACTGTCTACATAAGAAATGCCTTCCCAATCCCAGGCCAGTGTCCTCGGGGCCTCATGTCTGGCAGGACCCTGGGAGAGTTGAAGACCTTCTTCTCTCACAGCAGAGGAAGCTGAGACTGGGCTGCTGGAGGGACAGAGGATTTGCCCACCAGTGTAGCTGCTCTAGACATGAGCCTCGGCCCAGCCCATCACTGGCAGTGTTCCAGGGAAGCCACTGGTCTCGTTAGCTCTGGTGATCCAGGACTGGTGGCCCAGGGCTTTCCTAGTTGTTCTAAGTAACCACTGTGGGACACAGCAGATGTTGAAGGCAGCTCTGTGTGAGCAGTCCGGCCTGATGGGTTCCTACTAATTCAAAAATCGCAGATTGCTGTGGAGGCCGACCTGGAGAGCCATGGGCAGGAGTGCCCTTTCCCTTATACGGAAGTTTCTGGAACCCCATCTGTGACTGTAGGCTGCTTCCTCTGGTCCACACACCCTCCCTTTATGTTCACATCCCCACTATGGGATGGCAGAGATGAGAGCGAGACGCTCCTGAGGGGTGCTTTCCCAGCCATCACTGCGGGCCACCCAGAGCTGTCCAAATGCTGTGTCCTGACGCGCTGTCCTCTGCCCCGAGTCTGGACGTGAGCATCATGCTCAGCACTTTTGTGAACCCTCACACCCCCGCCAAGAGGAACTGCCACAGCTAGAGCCATGCTGCTCCAGCAGGGAGTCAGATGTCTCTGAAGGAATGCTTCAGGCAGGTCGATGAGCCCTGCACTGGTGGAAGGTGTGACACAGTGACCAGTGACCATGCCTTTGGCGCTATCCCTCACCAGTGGGGTTCTCTTGCATGCCCCAAGTCATAGATGAGGTGGCCTGACAGCATTCTTTGAAAGATAGGAGCAGTGTCCCCAGGATGGAGCCTGAGCTGCAGAGGCACTCAGACCCTAGGTTGCTGAGAGCCACGGCCGAGTCTGTATGGCCCCTGAGAATTGGGCCCCCCTGTCCGTTTTTTGGCAATGGAGCCCGATGCCTTTCTCCATGATATCGTGGGTAAACACCTTGTCAATATTCATTTTTTGATAACGGAGTACCCTCTATGGTGGTTTGAGAATGACATTCATTAGCCCAATGTCTCCCTCTACGGCATCGTGGGCAAATACCTGGTATTCTACTCTTTTGATACCTAGCTTTTTTAAACCCTCCTCCTATGGGACAATTCCTTTTAAAATGTCCTGTTTGTTCACAGTTGTAGCATGTTTTTGGCCTGGCATCTAAAGCCTCTTGTACTGCAGCTGCGAAGACTTGCCCTTGTTCATTAATGTCTCTACATAATTTAATATATTTGTTTAAATCTCCAAGTTTCCATGGTCTAATGACCTCTCTGCACCAACGATTTGCTTGCTCATAAGCCAATTGTTTTATTAATGGCATTGCTTGTTCTGTATCCCCAAAAACTCTGGTAGCTGTTTGAATAAGCCTATCTATAAATTCAGCATAAGGTTCATTAGCTCCCTGTATTACCTTAGATAATTGTCTTTGCAAATCTCCATGTCCTTGTAAAGTCTTCCATGCCCTAACTGCATCTGCAGCAATTTTTGTATATATAGCAGGATCATATTCAATTTGTTGCCGTTGACCCTCATAAGGTCCTTTTCCTAACAACATATCTAGATTTCTTTGAGGGTAACCAGCTGCTGCATTTTGCCTAGCCGTCTCCATGCAAAATTCCTCATTGGCAACCTTCCATAACAAATATTGCCCTCCATTTAGCACATATTGCACATGCTAGTCCAATCTTCTGGTGTCATGTCCAAGTTGTAATGGATTTGACCATGCTTACAGTGAAGGGTGCTTGAGGACCATAGGTTGTTACAGCCTCCTTTAACTGCTTCACTGTTTTGAAATCTAAAGCACGGTGAATTCGCTGCCCTCCTGCCTGCTCAAGTACAGGGCATGCTAATCTTTGAGGTCCTGTCTCAGGATCCCATCTATCAACTACGGGGGTTGAGGGCCACTCAGCTGTTGGTTGAATTACGCCCTCTGGTGATAGAATGGTGTTAGTAGAAGCCTCCTGTTGTAGCTTTTTTCCTAATAGCTGTTTCTCCTCTCAGCTTTTTTCCTTTATATTTTCTTCCTCTGTCTGACTAGCTCAAGAGATCTTCTCTTTTTCTTGATCTAAAATGTCTTTCTCCATGGTCTGAACCTCTAACAATTTACTTAACACTCTTTCAGTTCGTTTTTTACTAATTTCTAAACTGTTACAAAGATAACACAACCCAATAAGATAACACAAAACAAAACCGAAACAGAATGAAACAAAAACGGAACAAAAAATTGTTGTATCAGTTTTCCTATTTTCTTGACATGTGCATTTGTGGTCTATTTCTATATCTTCCTCAGGGGCGAACAACTTCAAACCTTGAGCCAACCATTTTTCCCAGTCTGTCTGAGAAAGTTCTAGGGATAGGGAGCTTGAAACAAAAACAAAACAAATCAAAACAAGAACGCATTGTTTTATAAAATGGTCACACATTCTCTCACCTTCCCTTAGGGGCGAGCAATTTTACTTACCCTCAAGCTTCAGACATTCCCCGCATGGGCCGCCAGTTGCCGCAGTCTGGCTGGGCACAAACCACGAGCCATTGAAGCAGGAATAATCTTTATTTTTGAACTGCAAGAAGACACTTCACACACGCTTCCAGGGAATTCTCCCGAACTCCACACCAATCGTCCAGGAACCAGCCACTGGAAATATCTTCTTCAGAAATCACTCCTCCTGCACTAACCCAACCAAGGGGAACTCTTGGGAATCCCCGAGAATCCCCAGGAGAACTCCAAGGTAGCATGAGAACTCAAAAGTAGCGGCCGAGGCAGATAGTAATGCCTCATCTGTCAACCAATACTGTTGGCAAAATGCCAAGGGCCATACAGACTTGGCCTTGGCTCTCAGCACTAGGTGGCACCCACCCCTGCCTCAGTGCACACCGGCAGCCACTTGGGGGCCCCTGAGAGGCAAGAGAAAGGGCAACCTTCCAGCTTCGTCTATGGATAGACACTGGCACTCACGGCAGCGCCAAAGCCATGCAGAGACCTCTGTGCTGTGCAGAGCCCGCCCTGGAGCCACAGGACGCTGAGCTGAAGACACTCCTGGGGACCCTAGGCAGGGCCAGCTTGCCTCTGGATTCACCCATCTGAG